AGGTAATTACTTGGATTGCAACTGCTTTGAGAAAAAAAAGTACATGTCACCATTACAAGAAATATGACTCTAGAGTAGTTAATGTTGACTGTGTCTACTTTCACCTGTAACTAAAGCCTGTATTGTATAAATCATGTCCACCAAGAAATGTCTGCTTGCATTTTGATTGAATATGATACGTTTCATTATAGCATCGTATATCAACTCCCGCTAAACAAATGGAAGAGAGGACACCAGTTTTTTTAGAGAGATAAATGAATAATAATTAAAAGTATTTAAAAGAAAACGAACATGAAGAAATTAAGTCATTTAAAAATAAAATCGTAATTGAAAAAAAAATGTAGTTTTATATATAATCATAATTTTTAACGATACTGTTCTCCAATATTGCAGTGAATGCTTGACAATTTCCCAAGAGGAAACTGGAAGCAACATAGATGTGATTCAACAGAAGATTACTGAAAATACCATTGACAGAACATGTGAGAAATGGGGAAGATTTAAGGAAAATGGAAACAAAAAGGACAGCTGTTCATAGAAGCAGAATGAGTTGGAATATAAGAGATACGTCACGAGGAAAGAGGGCTTGTAAAATTCGACATACACAGGACATACTGAAGGCAAGAAATACGGAGGGAAACAGCGAGTAACCTACGAACCGAACAGAATGACAAGAAATTGAAAAGGATAATATTCTTTGCAATGCTTATTAAACGATAAATATTGCTTAGGGCTGCAATAGATAAGACGTTATGGAGAGCAATGATCCTTCAGGTCGTAAAATTGCACGGCATATAGAATAATAATAATAATAATAACAATAATAATAATAATTTTAGTGAAGTGAACTCGTCGAGAGGAGTTCAAATCCTGGCTGAGTGTGTTGAATTAGTAGTCTTAGAAAAGGCATTAATTATTTTTTTCATACCTTGACTAACTCAAAGTAAAATAGCAAGGTAGACAGGGCTCTCTAGTATTGGCTGACATCCAGTGTCTGGAAGACAATTTTTAATTTCAAACAATGGAGAAGGCAACGAGTAGCCACTCCCCGATGTTTACATAGAAGGCCTGGCAATTCATAAATAATAAAGAAAAGGAATTTATGTGAAGGACAACTCTGAATTTCAAACCATAGAGAAGGCAACGAGAAGCCACTCTCCGATCTTTTCCTAGAAGTCCTAGTAATTCATAAATAATAATCTGAATTTCAACCAATTTAGAAATAGGAAACTAAGATTCTTGTTTCACAGATAATAAAGATAATGTAGCTGTGGAGAGCCATGACTGCCCACATCATGCCACAAGTGACTTGACATTAAAATAGATTAATAAATAAAAATACAGAGGCGCTGGTAGTGTAACAGTTATCGGTGACTCGAGTTAAAATTCCGGGTAAATCTTGTGTGTTCACTTACGCATTAATTACTTTGAGGAAACATGAATCAATCTATAAAGAGATTGAAGTTATGGATTAAATAGAAAGTTAGAGAGGGTTGCTAAGCCGTAGATGACAATCAGTCTGACAGAGAGAATTCCAAAGCAAGGAGACGAAAACATGGAACTACTCCACTATCTTTCCCAAGAAGGCCTGGCAATTCGCAGATACTATAGAAAAGGAATCTGTGAGAAGGACAACCCTGAATTTCAAACCATACAGTAAGGCAACAAGAAACCACTCTCCGAAATTTGAGAAATCAAAGAAAATTCACAGATAATAAAAAAAAGAATTCTGAAGCTCACTATTATTGCTTACGTCTTGGAAATATATGCCATTAAAAATAATTTATGTACGTTTTGGAATGTTTAGTTTCATGCCTTTAAAAAAACTAACTTGAGCAGTCGGCCAGAAACATCTTATTGGCGCCATTTGCGACTCTATAAGCATCAAGTTAAGCGCCTATCAGCGCTAATGGTGGCGATAAATAGCACGATGTCGTTAATAAATGCTGCGGTATCCATGATGGCAGGAGTGCCAGTGTTGTGGATAAGAAGTGATCGCTTTGTTGTTTGAGTGACTGGGTAGGCAGGGGGAAATACATTTGCACCCATTGAACCTTTGTGCTTTCGATCAGTGTGGGTTTATTAGATGTTTCGGTGTTAGGTTCCGCCATTTTCGCCATTTTAGTGAGCTGAGCAAATGGACGTCAGCCGAGAGCCTCTGCTGATATCATGGCGGCAAAAGGTTTTGTTCTGCGCCAAAGCAGCCCAGAGGCGAGAACAAAAGGGAATGACAACTTGGTTCCAATTAACAATTTGGGAGTGGCAGACTTCATTCTCTGCGAGACTTTGTGCGCACGCCTGGGTGTGTGGACATCAATTTAGGGAGAGATAGGAATCTACGAATGAATCTCAAAATGGATAGAAAAGAGGACAGGGAAGCGAAAGAATTTCTCCATGCAAAGGAGTGTGTGTGAACCGTTGTGAATACACAAATGAGAACGACTATGCGCATTTGTATGTGTCTCCGTTCGCGCTGTAATGAGAGAAACGATGAACACATGTGCATACGCTTATACCTATATATGTCTACATAAGAAGTGAGTGGGTGTGTAGGTGAGATTTTGTATGAGCTGTTATATTTAAGCACGAGTTTATGATGTGAGAAAAACTGGTATATATAGAGTTTAACCACATCTCAGAAAAGAAATTGCGTGAAAAGGAAGACTAAATAAATGAAATATAGGCCAAAGATTTTAGACCACCCTCCAGATTTATTAATTAGTAAATTTCAAGACTTTATCGGTTTAATTAACTTCTACTAAGCTATGATGCTGAAACTAGTTAACCCATTAGTGTATGGTGTCTATTTATTTTAGAGATAGCGTTGACTAAATTGTAAAATCCACAAACCCCAAGAATGCCAGTAAAGGTAGACAAAAAAAATAGTTTTAAAGAAATTTTATGTAATAATGGGTTAATTTAGCAATTCTTCTTCTTTTTCTTCTTTTTCTTTGTGCTTCTTCTTCTTTGTCCTTCTTCTTCCCCCTCCTCCTCCTTCTTCTTCTTTGTCCTTCTTTTTCCTCCTCCTCCTCCTTCTTCTTTGTCCTTCCTCCTTCTTCTTCATTCTTCTTCTTCTTAATCCTCTTCTTCTTCTTTTTTCTTCTTCTTTAAAAAAAAAAAAAAAAGCTCCTTCTTCTTCTTCTTTGATTCCTAAAATCTACACATTTCTTTCCGGGTCCTGCCCAGAGACCTAAGATTGGAATTGGCATCATGACATTTTCCACGGACCAATTAAAAACCCACCACACACACACACACACATTTTTACATAGATAAAACCCTTCGTAAAATGTGTAGCCTGTACTATTATATATATATATATATATATATATATATATATATATATATATATTATTATTATATTATATTTCGATATTTTTGCTATGGTCTCACTAATTTATACCAAGTCTATAGGGGAAGAAACCTAAGGCAGGTATTTTGTATTTGCTATTTACATTTCATGATTTGTTTTTTCAACTTCCGTAACATCACTAGCGTTACATGGACAATGTCCTTCTAAGCGTGTGGACTGTACTTATCAAGTCAAGTTTTGCATTTCTCATAACCTACTAGGACTAGTTTTCAATTACACCATTTTTATATTATTATTATTATTATATTATTATTATTATTATTATTATTATTGTTTTTGTTGTTATTATTAGTAGTAGTAGTTGTATTAAATATATGGTAAAAACCTTCAAGAAAGAACGCCACCGGCCCAAATGAAATTAGTTTTAAAAAAGACACACAACTTTCAATTTTTAAGTTATTGTTCGCAATCCAAAGGGTAGAGCCAAAGTTTTGAACTAGTACTCATATATATATTCTACATTCAACATCATCCTTTGATAAGACACCAGAGGTGTTTTCGTCAAAATAGCTATTTTTGTAGTGACATAAAAAAATATTCGTTCTACTCTTTTTGAGCACTCTTTTAAGAATAGTAATTGAATAATTTTCAACATTTATTCCGTATAAACCAATCCTATACTTGGGTATGTGTGTGTATATATATATATATATATATATATATATATATATATATATATATATATTTATATATATATATATATATATATGTTTTAAATAATTTATTTTCATTTATACACGTTTCATTAAATAATATAGAACAAGTGTTGTCTATTTATTTTATGTAAAATTTGTTCGTATCTTCTGATAAGTTTGATAACATTATCATTAAACGAAGAAAGAAATTCACAATATTGATCCATTATTTTTTAATATAATCTAAGCTTTCGGCTTACTTAAGCCATTATCAAAGATGTAAATCACAAACATATTAAACAATATACGTCGTGTCCGTATATTGTTTAATATGTTTATTTAAATCGTTTAATGATAATGTTATCAAACTTATCAGAAGTTAAAGAACAAATTTTACATAAAATAAATAGACAACACTTGTCTATATTATTTAATGAAACGTGTATATATATATATATATATATATATATATATATATATATATATGTATGTGTGTGTGTGTGTGTGCGTGCGTGGAGATTGTAAAATCTATCGGCTTGGAAATTGGGATCAGCTATGGGTTAATTAGCAGGGAAGAATAGGCGCTGATACCTTAGGTGGTAGCCAGTTTATGAGAAGAAAATCCTGTAATTCAAAACCATGTCATTTTAGGAAAGTTCGTATTTAATATATCTAAGTATCTCCAAAGATTCGCCAAAAATTAATATACTTGATGAGAAAAAGTCCAAAACCTAGTTTTATCGTGAAAATATTTGTTATTATTATGAAGAAAGAACAAAGGATTTTTTGATCGAAAAATTATATTTTAAATCCTTTTTTAGGAACTTCAAAATTTTGGTTAAAAATATTGTTTTTCTGGTGTCAACATGGAGCCATAAATTTGTTTTGGAAATGATAGTGTCATTTTGCGCTGAAAAAGGTGTTGATTTAAAAATTCTTGCAACAATCAAATAATTATCTATTAAAATATCTGTATTAATTAGTATCGGACAAGTGATATTGGCATTAAAAAAATCTATACTTACTAATCGTAAATGGATAAAGTTACAACAATTCTGTGACTCCCGGTATTTTTAAAAAAGAATTTTGAATGTTTTTTGTGTATAAATGTTGATTTTTTTTTAAATAGACGTCCATACAGGACATTGTCAGAAAATAATATCAAATTTAAAGCCAAAATTTCTAAAATTAAAAAAAAAAAAAAAATAAACATTAGATTACGGACAATATTTTCTTAAATTTTTAAGATTAGTGAGTAATGAAAAATTAAATAAAAAGGCACTCTCGTCATTTTCTTCAATTATGTTTTATAGATAAAGTCTCAGTAGAACAACGTTAGATATGTCATCACGTTGTCAAACACGTAAGCAAAATTACTGTAGGGTTAAAAATGGATTTCTCGATATTTTAAACATAAAGTCAATAAGAAGTATAAAGTATTTGTTCCAAATCAGATTAATTATACTTTAAATCAGCTAATATTCCTCAAATAAAGTTTCATAAAAGTATATTTTATTTTTGGAAGAATTTTTAATTAAGAGAATTATATTCGGATGAAAGATGACTAAAAAGAAAGCACTAACCAGGTGATTTAGGAAAAAAAAAAAGAAAGAAATTCTTTCCAGTCAATTTAAATTAGGTTTTGAAATACAGCAACGTATTTTGCTGATTGGAAATATTAAATTTAATCTGTTAGCTTGAAATCATACTTATTATAAAACCCATGTTGTGTGTGTCTGTTCGTTTATATATTGGATCGGATTTCTTACATTTTTCAACTGGTTTCAACAAAACTTCACGGGACTACGTAAAATTACCTTGCGGTGGTTCTGACAGCGCCAAAAATAGGAAAAACACAATTGTTTTTGCACGAAATCAATTTGAAAACACGATTAAGAGGCATCACGAGAATGAAAGAGGGACAACTCATAACGAGTTATACTTATTATAAAAACCCAGGTTGTTTGTGTGTGTGTGTGTGTGTTGTTTATATATGGAATCGGGTTTCCTACATTTTTTTAACCGATTTCAACAAAACTTCACTTTTTTTGGCAGGTAGTGTTTTTATTGTCTTGCACACTTTTTTCTTTATTTTACATTCAGAATGCTTTAAAAATTCCATTTACAAGACAATTGTTTATAATAAAATTCTATTCAATCGGTAAACTCATAACGATTGAAAACAATATTTTTGTTTGAGTTTGGGTTTGACCAATTCGTAAAAAACCCCAAAAAAAAAAAAAAAAAAACTAATTAAGACATGCGTGTCCGTCAACCTTAAACAATAATCTTTGTCAATTTTATTTTTCAGTCTTTATGATGGTCGATACTTGATCTATCTCTTACTGTTACATCCCCGGGCAACGCCGGGCTCTACTGCTAGTTAAAAATAAAATAAAAGCTTCAAGAAAAATATTTCATTTTCAAAAATTCATTTTAAACCTTAGGAATCGCTTTTATGCCGGTACCTGTATAGAAGTATATATTTCTCTATCAATTTGTGTTGGTTTCAACTATAATATTATGTGTTTGCGTAAGTGGGGGATTTTTGTTTTGAAAAACTGATATTAATGACGTAATAGATGTCAGTGATTTTCTTTCATCCTTTACCTTTTTTTTTCAAAGACATTTGAATATCGCATTTTCGCATTTGAGTTCGTCACCCACCGTCTCTTCTGGCTTTTCAAAATTTATCACTGCTAATCATTTCCTCAATATCTTGGAAGAGAAAGCAAAATTTGCCACCCGTGGCCATGCACCAACCCCGGTTTTGTCGAGGCCTTGGCAAACATGACATCAGAGAACACTGATACAGACGCCAAGTCATAGAATGGATGTCATGTAATTGTTGGACCAGTGCCAAATACAAGACCATTGATGGATTCTCTGTAATGTACTTATTCCACTCAAATCTAATATTGAACACTGCTTTGCAGAAAAATGTTCTTTCTTCTTTTTGGAAGTTCTTGAAATGTTTTCAAGGAACCCGCTATTAAGTTTTATCGGCTATTGGTTATGGGCGTATGCGCGTGCGCGCAAAGACAGCTAATGTTTTTCATGCCTTTTATGTGTGTTTGTGATAACATTCCTTCATTGTCTTTTCGTAAAGTGACACTGAAAACTTTGCTAAAATTTACGCATGAAATAATTTCCTAATACACAAACGTCAACAAATCGATGAGAAAGTTAAGTAAATAATGAAGACAATTTATGGTCAAATTTGATCGATTTTCACCTTAAAATACGCAGATTCTGTAGTCACCCTAAAACTCACAAAGCAGGTATTCCAACCGTTGTTAGAATAATCATTTTTTTCATAAATTGTTTCCCATAACCTTTTTATAGCGTCTCACATATTCCACGATGACGGAAAAACAATTAGTTTGGACGTAGTTGACAGATAATTTCACTTCATTGTCTGAGGCTGTAATGGAAACAACTTTATTTTTGGTTAAATGTTTTAGTGACTTTATGTTACTGCATGGTAATATT